GGGCAATTTGTTCTGTTTTTAAAGATATCTTTATTCATTGCATAATGGGAACTTTGGATCCATGTTTCCCTAATACTATTTCATAAAAGAAAAACAATGTTTTTTTTAATATACCTGAAATTTTCGTCAACTAAACAACATGTCTATGAAGATGTAAACAATTTTTCTGTACATAATGAAGCTTAACACCCATGCCAAATAGAAACAGAAGTATCGTTTGGTATGTTGAATTCCCACATGGTTTAAATCAAAAAGTTTGTGCTGCATTTGTGAAAAACGTCATGTAGAGAATTGATAAATGAAATATCAACCACACAACCTCATAAACAAGCAATAAAACAGCCAAACACATTTTAGTTAAATAAAACAAAGATCTATTTACTCAAGAGGAAACAGTAAACTTTCATATTTCAGAATGAGCACGGATACAGAAATTTTTAAAAAACTAACACTCACAATTTGTATCAAAGCACAAATCATTTTCCTTACAAAGAGGAGTTCTAAATATAAATCACATAAAAATGATAAGCGCGACTTAACCTTTACTTACAACGTCAATAATCACCCATTATCATTGTTACATAGTAAGGATTTAAGGCACAAAAGCAGCAGCAAAGCAAAAACCAGGGTGAGTTTTCTCCAAACTTCTGAACAGACCACAGTCATTCCGTCTTTCCACTTGCCGTGACATGTGTGACAATAACTCAGTCACTCAGTGAGACTGTGTGGTTTAAGCTGATTGACTACAGAGAATTCATTCGGTCCCATTCGTAGATTGAAGCGAAGTCTCTTGTTGGCTTAAGTCAATGGAGCTCCATTACCCACCTCCTGATTTGACAAATGCTTTACGGTTATCCAGACATCTGAAAATCCTTTCCTGATGCCCCATATTTTGCAGGATGTCATACCTCTTCCAAAGCAAGGTTTCCTTCTTCACCACCATGGGGCACATACTTTCATGCTCTCTCCAAGTCTCTCAGAGTTCGTGGTAGGAAATACACAAACTTTATGTGGGGAGGACAAAAATCAGACCCACTTCCACACTGGGACAATTTCTGGAAAGCAAGAATCTTAGAGTAGTTACAAGACTGATATTTAATAATAAAGAACTGCGGGTGCTTGTCACCTTAGAAAAACAGAATAACCTTAAAAAAAAAAAAAAAAGGAAAGAGAAAACAAGAAAGTGTTGCCACTCGAGGACACGACAGTCACTCAAGGACCCTACAAAACTTCTGCCCTGAGCTAGAACATCATAGATCAAGTTGTGGAATAATAAGTCAGTCCTGTATTCTATTTGTAGCGAACCTGGCTACTTGGTTCCAAAGAGAGTTCTCTTCGCATTCCTGTAAATCATGCTCACATAGTCACTCACAGGGATAAACCTTCCGACAGAGCCACTGTTGGTGTGGAATATTCCGCAGCTAAAGCATAGGGTAGTTAAGGCTGGTAACTAAGAACTGAGGGTTTGTACTCTGTCATTAGGTCAGGTAAACAAGATGATCTATCATCTGTCTGTCTATCTGCAATCACCCCTTCATAGAATAAATTTTTCATTAAAATTCTGGAAGCCTTCTAACTTGGAAAACTTTAAAGCTCTTAAAGCCTGAAGGAAACAAGTTTAAAGCACCATGATACAGATCATTTCTTAGCGTTTCCTCTCCATGTGTTTTTACACATTGCTTCTCTCAGAAGAGCCTTGTTCTATTAGTAACGCTGTGCCTGAGGGGGCCCGTCCACTGGTTTAAAGTGTGCGAGTGCATCTGTACAGTATTTGATATGCAGATGTGAATATCTATACATTCTCTTTCTGTTCAGATTGGCAACAGTTCACATGGGATGCTTTCCCTTTAGTAATTGAATCTTCTTTTAAAAATTTCGAGTTGCCACTGACTGAGCAACAAGGAAAGGACTGAGTCCATTATTTTAGGAGGGTCCGTTAAGAACGTAAAGAAGGCTTCCTGAAGTTCTATGGCCACAGACATTTCCTAGGGGAATGAACTTTATCCCTTATTGTAGAAGATAGGTCATTGAGCAACATTCTCCAGGATGCCAGATTATGAGCTATATGCTGGAAAATTTAGCAAGAGTACGTTCGCATTAGTGTGGCTTCACAACCGTGAGCCCACAGAGCTAGCTAACGGGCTCTGGGCCATGGGCATGTGGATGGTTCTGACTTTACGGGCCACAGCAGGAGCCGATGCTCTCAGAATGAAACAGGAGGATGAGATTATCCTGCTCTTCCCATGAGTTGGCATTCGAAAATCCCCTAAAACACATTAAGGGGAAAAGCAATGTCTTCATAAATGGAAAGGCATTCTGTGACTACAGAGAAAAACAATGAATAAAAAGTTATTGTATGGCCGCAATATCCTGTTGTGTAACTAGACAGCTAAAAATCTGTATTTTGCTCTGCAAATCTCTAATCTTCCAATTCAACTAAGAAACCAGGTGTTTACAAATGTCTTAACCCACAGTTAAACTTGAGAAATGAGTTCCATAAAACTAGAACTAGGTAGGGGGTCTGTACCCACAGTTTCACCAAGGACTGACCCGGTGAAGCCTTCCGCTGGCTAAGTCACCAGAGTTAGAGGATTTTGTCACAGCGTCCTCGCTCCTGGAAACACTCCGTGTCGCCAGACCAGGATCTCTTCTGCTCACTCACATAAGCGCTCTCCAGATCTGTCCGTCAGTCCGGCCCAACTCGTGCAGCTCGCCTGCCACGGAGACCACGACGCCCACAGAGACCACGTCCACACGTGGGAGAATCAGCTTTCCTTCCCCATGCTGACATCATCTTCAAAATGGTGTTCACGCTCCCTGTTCTCTGTGAATGATGCTTTCCTTGGTTCAATGACAGACTTCATTTTTTTTTTTTTTAGTGGTGTATGTTTACAAGGTGTTTTCAGGGGATGAGCCATTGTCCATCTCAAGATAGGTCACAATTATATCTTGTTAACAAGTGGTAAAAATGCACATCCAAGACAAGAATTACTTCCTGACTTTTCCATTCTTTGCTACAGTTACTATGGTCCATGGTCTTCGTAAAGCATTTGTATATTTTGTTTTTCATGTAAAACAACATTGGGCTTCATTGAGATGACTTGTAAAAAGGTCCTGAAAACCTAAGTTTATGGTATAATGAGGAATGGAAGAAAAAAATGCAATGTAGCTCTTTTAAAGAAGGAAAAAAGAGAAACTCATTAAAGGAAGGAAAGTGAAAGAATCACCTTGAAAATTAGTTATAACTTCTTGCATTTAATCCCTGATTTCTATAAACTATTTAACATCATCAACCCCAGGCCCAGTAATGGCATGGGAATTTAACATCAAAAAACCGGCTAGTCTACTTCCCTAGCGACTCAAGAGTGTTGCTTGCAGTCTACAGAGTTTCAGATTGTCCCCTTTGAAAAAAGAAGTCTACCTGTAATAAAGCACCATCTATATTTTATACCAGAAATATAGAACCCCCCACTTACAACTCATCCTGCCCGATCAACATACCCTTATAACACCATCTCTTTTCCAATACTGTTACATTATTATCTCCATTTATGCTTATTATTTGTAGAAAATATTAAAATAGCTGCTAGGAAAAAAAAAAAAACATTCATTCTCTGTAGTATTATTAAGTACTTGATATAAATACCCTTACTCTAAATGGTTGGTTATGAAACCTGGAGGGGAAGAAAATCTTTTAATCTTATAATTAATAATGAATTCTACAAAAGCACTAGAAGTTTCCTTCCAAATTTATAACATCTACATCACTAATAAAAATATTCTTTAATACGTGAAAAATATATTATTTCTCTATTTAAGGAAGATCTGCATCATCTCTTAAAAATTCAGAAAACTAATACAATTAGGTCTTTCCCCATATATACCTAACAAGGCCATTATGAGTTCATATAATTAGCCCACAAAATTGTAATAAGAAACTGGTTTCATCATTTAAACAATTTAAACATTTTTCAACAATTTCTATCAGAAGACTTGTAATTATATAGGAAGGAATCTGCTTGGAAGTCTAACTATAACCGGCCATTAAAATAACCCTTCGCTGATATCCCTAGGGGCAAAAATATAACAAGGCTAATCCTAATAGAAATAAGGCTTTTAAAAAGCAAGTCAAATGCATTCTTGGTTTTTTGTTCTTTTGTTAAAAAACTGGAGAGAATTCAACCTTTAGACTAGCCAATATTGAGTTTTCTAATGTAGTAACATGATGGAGAAGAGATGGGTATTCTTGATAAGGGTAGACTAGACCCATGAAAACCCTAGGGTATCAGAACTTGCAAACCGTCCCACCGGGTTCACTCACTAAAGCCCTTCCTGAGTGTGTCATTAAAGTCATAAGGATTAAAACCCGAAGCACTTGAGGGAGAGACGTGCCGAAATGAATCACTAACACACTGCATGGAGACTTCCTCCTTCCAAAATGTGTTCTTTTTAATTCTTGGGAGACGGATTTGGGATAAGGAGGAAGAAAGGAAGGAATGTCAACAAGTCACGAATCTACTGCCGTCTCTGAAACTAAATTACAATTTGTTTATTCAAGAGTTTATTGCTTTAAAAAAAAAAGTACATGCCTTCCTATTATCGTCCCTACAGTTCTATGCCTTCCTAGATAAGTGCTTTAGAACAAGCTCCCATCTACTAACCTCACTTCTAAATGTATAGAAAAGTATAGATGGGTGTGGTCCTCTTTTTTCATCGCTTACCAAGACAAGTGGCCAATTGCCGTCCGTGCAACATGCCCCTCTATCCCTCTTAATTTTTCTAAATGACTTTTACAGACACATCCCATGAAAAGAAGCCGCTCTCCTTTAGTAGCTACCAAAATCATCTAGCCTTTCCATTAAGCCTCTAATTTTAGAATTTCGTATGCAGCATTCAACCATATTGTCACATTATGTTCAGCAGTAACTGTATCCTTATTGTTCAAGTGTTATAACCCTTCATTTTCCTGATCATCAATACACTCTCTTCTTAAAAATCATCTATGCTACGGCAGCATAGTCCTTGTTTTGTTCATTCTCGTTTTCTTGCGGGCTCGTGATTTTTACTTCTGGTCTTGGTGGTCTTTGAGGGTCTAAGTCAGTCTGGAAGAAAAGTGATCAAAACAAAGATATTTAGTTCTTTCGTCCCAAAGGTCATAAAATTCACAAGGAAAAAAAAATGACTCCATATTTAGGAAATCATATAAACAGTCAACTAAAAATAGTTCCTGGGGTCCCCTTTGTGTTTTAGTTGATCATGCCAGGGGACGTGCCATCCTCAATACCTTACTTGCGCAAAAGCCCTACCTGGGACCATAAGAGCACAGCAGGGAAGCAGCATGGAGAGGGAGAAGCAGGCTCCCCACTGATTAGGGAGCCCGACGTGGGGCTCCGTCCCAGGACCCCGGGATCATGACCTGAGCCAAAGCCAGATGCTTAACTGACTGAGCCACCCAGGTGCCCCTCAATTTTTTTTTCTTGATCTCACTTTAAACTTTTATTTTCAATAGCATATTTATACTTTTCATTTCAGCATTTTCAGAGAAAAAAAGCACAGCAATTCTACCTCCATGTCACATTAACCCAGCCCCATACCAGCTGTTCTTGTGTGAATCAGAGCTCACAAATTCTTTGTGACTATGATACCGAGAGCCATCATGTACAGAGATAAGGGCAGGAAGCAAACCAAGTACCGAGGCAGGATTTCTCCAATGTTACGGGCAACCCTGTACTTGGACTTCTTTTATGTTGTTAAGGATCTTGTCTCACGTCCAATGTGCCCGCCTCCCATTAGACCGAAATCCAAGCGGATGAGATCAGAATTCCCTGATGTACAAGCTCTGCTCCATGGAACCCTGGAGGCTCCACCGCCCTCATAAGGGCCACCCAACTGGGGACAGGAGGACGAGCTCCAAGGCCCTTTCCCCTACAGCCATAACTGGTGGTCTAAAAAAGAAAAAGAAAAAATATCGGGACTCCTTTTTCACACTGTTATCTCAGGAAGTGTCTCCAACACCACATGACCTCCATGTCCGTGGCTTGTGCTGCGTTTCTCCCGCTTCCCTGCTGTCTGTCTGTCTCTCTCTCATCCCAGCACACTGTACCTAAGAATGGCTACACTGGACAAAATGGTACCTGCTAAACTGAACCTGGGGCCATTCTAGAAACAAACCATCTTTTTGAAATAGTTAATTTTTAAGGTATAATTTGCAATTTGTATGGATCTTGTTTTTCGCATGTTCGATACGCTTCAAATGTAACTGAAGGAGCCCGTGAGGGAGAATGGAAACAGCCTTCACTGCCCTTAGGGGAGAGGGGAGTGGAGCGAGATTCAGTATCCCTGCGGGTGACTGCCCTGCTCTGGCATGTGCAGAGTTAACAGCCCTGACTTGTCACACAGCAGGGACCCGAGTTCAGATTCCCCATCAGGACACCCCGGGAAGACCTGGACTTCACATTACAGGACCTTGATCTTGACCGAGGCCCGATTCTTACAAGACGTCTGTTTTTAAAGGCTGAATTTACAGAATGGACAGACAGGTCCCCCACTGGTTTTGGTACAGCTGTTTGAGGTGATAGCACTGAATTAAAACCCAGAGCACTGGGAGAGCGCACTCTTGGACCTCAGGACCGAGGTCCCACAGAGGGTCTGCACTCTGGTTTCTTGCTGGAGATTTTCGTCAAAGGCAACAATAACAGAGCTTCATGAAGCCGACTGCCGTAGTTACCATATCAGTGACAGTGAGGACGCTGTCCTCCACGTTACTGTGCTTTGCGGGTGATACCCCCAGCTGAGCCATTTTGCTTCCCTTGAGAAAGCATGTGTGTGTGTGTGTGTGTGTGTGTGTGTGTGTGTGTGTTTCTTGATAAGTTCATTTTATGTCCTTATTGAGGGAAAGAAAATTATGTTATGGACTGATTTCCTTTCTAATTTTAGCTACAAACAACTTCAGGATACAAATTACCGCTCATTTTCAGTAACTCTGCAGAACGGCATATGGGGAATTTCTAACTGACTACAACTGTGATTCCCTCACCTTAAGGAAAGATGAGAAAGGAGACACATTGAGTGTTTTCATTTAGATGCTGAGAATGTTTTCGTGTAAACCAGACAACAGATTACAGACGACTCTGTGCAGGTTATTGAAACCCGGCCACAAGAAGGTTTTGCTATTTTGCCATCACTAAATTTGGTCTCCCCCACCCAAGCAAAATAAAACAGATGAGTCCATAGTAAATCAAGAAAACCACAGTCATGACACCAGGTGTCAGGAATAAAGACATCCAGGCCCACGTGAGAAGTTACAGCCCGAGGGACCTGGGCCCTGAACAGAGGGAGAGACAGGAAGGTTCATTCTCCCTGATGGGAAGGAGGCTGCGGAGTGCACCCTGCCTCTTACGCTATGACGTTGAACTTGACTCTATTCATCAGTCTCTAATTTAATCATCCAACCCCTGGGAGGATGCCTGCTGCAGGGACCCTAGCGGGAACACGGGCTAGGAAGGAGGCGTTGCCGTGTCATTCCTTACCCTCTCAGTCTAATAAGTAGCATCACGTATTAATAAATGCCTGGTGCATCGAATGCTTAATTCAATTAATCCATTTAATGGGGACTAACCAAGTGAGACGTAACAGAGTACAAAGAAGTCACCCATGATAGAAGGGATGTTCTTTCTTTCATGTCTAGATCTCATGGCCTTGATGTTCATTTCTTGTCTGTGCCTCCCCAGATCTTAACTTACTTGTATTGGTTCATATTTGTTATATACGCTCTCGGGAGCCTCTGCGAACTCTGTAGAATGAGACAAGGGATGGGAGGGTGGATGGATGAGTGATGTGTGATGGGTGGGTGGAGGTGTGGAATGGGTAGGTGAGTGCGTGGATGTATGGATGAGTGGGTCCCTGAGTGGGTGGGTGGGTGAGGGGACGGGTCGGGATAGACGGACAGGTACATGAGTGGGTAGATGAGTGGGTGCAGGGGTCGATGGTGGATGGGGGTTGAGTGGCTGCATGGGTGAATGGGTGGGTGAGGGGATGGGTGGGGATGGATGGGTGGGTAGGTGGATAGGAAGTTGGGTGGGTGACTGGGTAGATGGGTGAATGAGTGGGTGTATGTGTGGATGGGGGATGAGTGGGTGGGTGGATGGACAGATGGATGAGTGGGTGGGTGGGGATGGGTGGACAGGTGGATGGGTAGGTGGCTGGTTGGATGGATGGATGGGTGGGTGGGTGATGAGTGGGTGGATGGATGGACAGACAGATGAGTGGGTGGGTGGGGAGATGGGTGGATGACAGGACAGATGCGTGGACTCTCTGATAGGTGGATGGCAGTTCTTGTTAAGTGACCGAAATAATACAGTCAAATAAACAGTGTGGAGTCCTTCCCTGCTCGGCAATAAGTGGTTTCAGTGCAAGTCCTAAGTGCTTGGGCAACTCCCGAAGTGCACGGGCGTGTGCACCGCACACACATTCATGCACGAACACACGTGAGCACAAGCAGCAGAAGTACCTCGCCTTGTGCACTGCCAGCTCCTTGCGACTTGACTTCCTCCTCCACTGCCTCCTGAGGCTCGGGATTAACCTGATCCAGCTCCTCGCCATTCTCTTCATCGGTGCCTCCGTTAACGCGGGCGGGGGCCACCGGCTCCTCGCTGGGACCCGGGACACCCTCCACCTGCTCGGAGGCACCTGGTGCCACCTCCTCTCCTCCTCCTTCAGCAGCACCGTTCATTCCTGAAAAGTCTTCTTTCTGCTCTGCCTCTTTGTTCGCTTTTCCTCCATCTTCCTCCTCATCCACAATTTCCGCTGGCCTCTGGCGGGTCAGAATGAATAAGGGAGGAAAGTCAGCAGGACGACAGAGGTTCTCCACTGCCTGTTAGGACGACGTGACGATGATCACGCCACAGTCACATAAACGTCCTCACACGCGCACAGCACTCGGCAGCGGGCAAGACGCAACCTTCCCTGAGAACCCACAGCGTGCCGCTCTTCGCAAAGGATCTCCCGCACTGGCCCTCCCAACAGCCCTGTGCGGTGGGTGTTAGTCCCCTTCTACGGGGGAGAAAACTGAGGTGCAAAGAGACCAAACAGCTCGCCCAAGATCCCGCTGTGTGGGAGTCAAAGAGCCAGGACTGGAACAAGGCGTGTGACTCCAGGAACAGTGCTCCTAAGCCCTGCAGCAGAGACAAAGCCAGACTGTAGGGCCTTTGGTCCATACCTAGTGCAGTGTCCGGCCCAGAGGAGGAGCTTAAAAAAAAGTCTCTGAGGAGAAGTCAACCTCCCCACGGCGATGCCTGGTGTGTATTTAGATCACAAGATACAGAGAGAGTGCAAGGGTGCTGGCGCCAGGACGTGAGGCCAGGCTGTCCAGCAACGCATGTGGCCGCTGCCCACACGATGCCTGGGGCTCCCGGCGTATCTCAAAACACAAACACAGTCACTCAGCTCCAAGGCCAAGCCACTCTACGTCCTTTCTATAAAAATGGTAAGTGCTCAAGAGCCTATGAGCCCAAATTAGGCAATTTCCAAGTTATTCGGATACATGTACATCTGCTTTAAAAGACAGCAGGAGGCTGACTTCCAGAGCCAAGACTTGGGAGAAAGGCCTGGGCTCAGGGCTTGGGCGGGTACTTACTGGCTGTCACCTCACTTCCGTGAGGGCCAGAGTCCCCAAGTGTCACATGAGAATATCATAAAACATGCAGAGGGAGTGAAGGAGAGCAGTTACATGCAGTGCCTCCCACCCTACTTGGCATATCACATCTTAAAACACCAGAGTCGCCTCCCATTTGCAGGACATGCTCTGTCCAGGAGTCAGATTTTTCACTGCCTGCGATAAAATAACAGCTTGTCTTCTAAAGAACAGAACAGAAAGAACACAGGATTTGTTCTAAGTTAGGACCGAGACCTGCCTCCTTCTGGTTGACCCTGGACAGGTCACGTGGTCCCCCAGCACCTATAAAATGAGGGTCTGAGATGAAATTCACCCTGACCACCCCCCATTCCAGCTCTGGAAGTCCGTTCTCCCCAAACCACTCTAATGCTTGTTACGAGGTCTTAATGGTCTTCTCGTAAAAGTTAACATAATACGCTCCATTTTGGAAGAAAAACAAACAAACAAAACAAAACCAGAGTGAACTAAAAGTTCAGGACAAAACTCCACACAACATTACTTTGAAGAGGAAAAGAGATGAACCGTGAAATCTTGCATTCTGTCCAACATAGCGCCTCAGTTTTGACGGCATGATATCAATGATGCACTTGAAAAAAATGAAAGAAAAAAAATTAATTTTTCTTAAGATATTCCAATGACCATGGCGTTGGCCATCACACAGCTTAAATCATGGTATACGGTGAGGCTGGGTCTCCCACATTTTTCGTTCGGATGTTCAATGTCGGAGGGCGTGGGGCCCCCACGATCCCTAAGCTTGCTGCCCCGGGTGAGGCCCTTGGGAAGGCCAAATGCGGGACAGAAATGGGCATGTGGGGGGTGAACCCGCCAGATGGTGTGAAGAGAGAAGACGGAGACTTAGGAAATGGAACCTATGCTGGGTAAGGGTTTCCTGCTTTGATATGTAAGACCGAGATGAAGGGAGGTGAGAAAAACCTCCAGTTTCCAAGAGGCAAAGCAATATGCGCCCATGCCCACACCCCGCCCCACTCTTTCTACAGAGAACACTCACGGCAAAGCCCTGAGACAGACTTGTTTCCAGCGACGAGCCAAGAAGAGTGTGCTGTGGGAGAGGACAGGTGCGGTCGTCCAGAGGGCAGGGGAGAGGAAATGTCTGGGCCAGGGTGGGTGTGTATGCACCCTAAGGAGCAAGGGCTTGGAGGGGGCTTCCTCAACAGGACACTAGGACAGAGAGGGGACTGCAGGTGGGAAAGAGCTAGAATAAGGAGCCGACTCAGAATCACTGTGGGCAGCTTGCCACGCACATGTCATGAGAGCCCAAGGAAAGGCCAAAGGGTCTCGGGTCCAGAGTCCCCAAGCTCCTTCCTTAGGGACTCTGAAGGACGTGAGGGGCACTCCCTTTGCCCCTCCGGAAGAGGTCATCTTCCATCATGAGTCACCGTGACTCATGAGTGGGCTTGGGGTATCCATCGGTGCTGAGCAGCACTGGGGGAGCTAGACATTCGGAGACAAATCCGACAGGAATCCGGGAGCTCAGAGCCGGGCGGGCACCAGGCACACCTTACACAGCCTGGCGCAGGGGTCCGGAAAGTGACCTCGGGTGGTGGGCATGGCAGCCTGCCACCCGGGCTCAGTCACGGCGCCCACTGGAGCCCATGGGAACGCCATGTGCAGGTGAAGTGTGTCCCCAGAGGCCCCGGCTCCCATCCGCTATGAGAGTCGCGCCCTGTGCTTGCACACTCGTCACTTCGTGAGACCGTCCTGACACCCGTGCCAGGTCCACCTCTTAGGTCCCCACACGCGTCAGGAAAAGGAGGAGCCACACAACCCTGACAGCATCACACGGCAATGACCAGGCAGGGCAGGGACTGGAACCCAGGGCCACAGCTGGCCCCTGGGGCCCAGTGTTTGTCTTTAAAGACATACCACGAGGAGTTTCTCCTTCACGCTGTCACTGCGGCGAGCACCCCCGAGTGTCCTTTCAGCGGCCCGAGCTGTGGCTCCGAAAGTCGCAGCCCCGCTTCAACATGAAACAATTACCGAACATTTCCAGATTTCTCTGAAAGACTTTCGGCGGGATCCAGGGAGGACGCGTCATGAGGAGGGCTGGGCAGAGTCCCTGAAGCGTTACACAACAAAACTCCAGAAATACCATAGCACCAGGGCCAATGAAAGCAGAGTTCTTTTTAGATTATTTCTGAGAATTGGATAATGGTTAGTGTATCTAAACTCGCCCCATTCGGAGCAACATTTTGTTTTGGTTTTAAAGGGAAGTTATACAGAATTCTATAATAAAAACATGGAAGGATAATGACAGAGAACACCCCAAGTTCACTGCCATCATTTAGGAGCATAGATCTGTCTGTCCCTTGTCTCTCTGAGAATCTGTTACAAGAACACGCTAACGTCTATTAAGGTGACTACTTCTGTGTCAAGTGAAGTCTCTTTTCCTTTCCTGAAATCTGGATTTATTCTGAAATGTGGGAAAATAGTGTGAGTTGGTTTTTAGTTTTTAGTTTTGCATTTCTCGTCTCACTCTTTTTCCTCACTCCCAATTCCCAAACACATATACTTTTCTTTTTCTTCTTTTCATGCAATCAGCGGGGACAGACCCTAACCTCTGTCTAAGGAAGGAGACACCCAGCCCTGAGTTCAGGCTCTGCTGTCCCCACCCTTAGGAGCACTGCTGTAAACACACAGGATCACCCTCCCATCCCATTCGTCCTGTTACACTTTCCCACCACGGCTCTCTCACCATCATCTCACGAAGCCACATCTGGTTAGCTCAGCTTTACAAAATGAAAGATTAAGGTGCTACACTAAGAGTTGGATCCATTTAAATAAGACGGTAATGGGAGTTAAAAGGCTTATAATGCTTTAAAATATCCACAGTGTAGAACACAATTTATTATTACTATGACATTACAACTCAGGCCAAAAAAAAAAAAAAAAATTCTGCTATGACAGATCTGTAATGAATAAATGAAAAGCAATGTGCTTTTTGGTGTAATCTCCTTTGAAGCAGACATTAAATTATTAAAGATGTTTCCAGTGCATACATCAATCAAATCATCCCCAGAAGGAACACTGGGTTTCACACCCCATACACACACACACACACATACACACACACACAGATAAAATCTATACCATGGTGAGGACCTTCAGAGAAGCAAAAGAACGCCCCTTCCACAAGACGGTGGGGGTCCACAGTGGGAGGAAGGGAGGAGGGGAGTCAGCAAGCCACACACTCCCTCAATCCTTGCCCTCCTTCTCTTGCTGCAGAGAAACTCCCCAGGATGACGCTGGTGTCCCTCGAGCAATGCTGACCTGACATTTGGCCCCGGCAGTGGGACGCCCACAATGGAGAGTCTACTCGGGTAAATGCTGTTCTTAGAGGCCTTGGGATCTCCCCTCACAGCAAGAACAGCTCTTCCCTGGGGGGCAGGCTGTGAGTTAGCTCTACGCAGAGCCAGACACAGAAGGTCACTTACTATATGATTTCATTTCCACGAAAATCCACAAAACATTCAGAATAGGTCAATCTATGAAGACAGAAAGTGGATTCATGGTGGCCAGGCCTGAGGAGAAGGGAGAATGGGGAGAAGCTGCTTACCAGGCAGGAGGTTTTGGGGTGCCTGTGTGGCTCAGTCGGTTGAGCGTCTGACTCCTGGGTTTCAGCTCAGAGCATGATCCCGGGGTCCTGGGATTGAGTCCTGTGTCAGGCTCTGTGCTCAGCTGGGAACCTGCTTCTCCCCCGCTCTCTCTGCCTCTGCCCCTCCCCCTACTTGCGCACATACTGTCTCTGTCTCTCTCTCAAATAAATAAATTGTTTAAAACATAGGCATGGGGTTTCCTTTGGGAGAGATGGAAAATGCCCGGGAACTAGACAGAGGGGACAGCTGAACAACACTGTGAGTGTCCGAAAGGCCCCAGATCTCTCTATTTAAGAATTGTCGATGGTTTGTTGTATGTTAGCAGAATCTTCAATTTCTTCACTTCTCTCTCTCTCTCTCTCTCTCTTTTTTTTTTAAGAGAGAAAGAGAGGAAGCACAAGCATGAGCAGGAGGGGAGAGGGGCATGAGCAGGAGGGGAGAGGGACGGGAGAATCCTAAGCAGGCTCCATGCACCGAGCAGAGCCCATCACAGAGCTCAATCCCATGGCCCTGAGATCAGGACTT